CCAGAGGAGGGGGGGAAGGAGATGAGGGAGTGGGGGACAGAAAGAGGAGACGAAAGCAGACGACAGAACATTGCTAGAGAGCAGGAAAGGAGGTGAATGGAGACACATTTAGAGAAGAAAATGTTTCGGTTACTAACTGGATTCGAACCCGGGACCTTTCAATCAGAGGCGAACACCTTAACCTCTAGGCCACGAGAGCCCACCTCATTTATTTGTGAAGTCCGTTACCAAACATCTCCATAGACACAAAGAGACAGCTAAACTCTTCCGTATTTATACCAACATTATGCTAACTGTGCCAGAACTGGACATTAAGTAAAACACATGAAAGCAAAATCACTGAAAGCGAAATGAAAAAAAAAATGGTATGGATTTAACGCCCCTATCAACACTATTACGTTATTTAAGGGGCGGGACCTCCTAGTTTAACGTCCGTCTCATGCGAAATGAAATGTCTCCGCAAAACCCTTAACATCACAAGACGAGACTGTCAAAGAAATGAAGAAGTAAGAGCAGCTATCGGCACTGAGTCCTGCCTGCATTTCAAAGAAAGACAGAGAATAAAATGGTTTGGCCACCTGTTACGTATGTCACCTGGCCAGCCAGCCTCGAGAGCCTACAACACCAAGCACTCAGGCTATAAAGGAAGAGGAAGGCCACGCAAAAGGTGGATTGAGGGCGTCAAGAAAACCCTGAGAAATCATAGTAATATCACAACTGAAAGAGCTGCGGAGCTGGCCTACCATAGAACACTGCATCTCCCCTCGACGCTTAACGGCAACAGCGGATGAACAAGTAAAAGTAAACATAATATTAATTTTGTCTGTCTGTCAGTCTGTCTGTCTGTCTGTCTGTCTGTCTGTCTGCCTGCCTGTCTGTCTGTCTGCCTGTCTGTCTGTCTGTCTGTCTGTCTGTCTGTCTGTCTGTCTGTCTGTCTGTCTGTCTGTCTATATATACCTCTCCCTACCTCTCAGTCACTTACCACGCGCGGAACTTGTCCGTGTGACGTCATCACACAGGTGAGCACCAGTGACGCCCCCTGCCGGTGGTTGTGGTAGGAGCCTCTGGTCGGCGCCTGTGGTGGAAAAAAACAAACAAACAAATAAACAAATAACCGACCAACCAAACAAATAACCAACCAACCAACCAAACAAACAAACAAATAATCAACCAATCAAAAAACCAAACAAATAATCAACCAACCAACCAACAAAACAAACAAACAAATAATCAACCAACCAACCAAACAAACAAATAATCAACCAACCGACCCCGCCCTCCTTTCCCTCCCTCTCTCTCTCTCTCTCCTTCTCCGCACCCACCTCGTCCCCTGACATCCCCCGCGCAGGAAGCGCGCTCCTGTCAGCCCGACAACGGGAGATAATCCAGGGATTTCCCCGGCACAGTCCGCACAGTTGGACGGAAAGCCTGGGAGAAGTAGGGGCGAAATTGTGTAAGACAACCAGTTCCGTCGCTGGTGAGAAATGAACGTCTTATACAGGTGACCTTCTTA